TGGCTTGACTTCTAGATCTCAGCACTCTTCGCAGTCCCTGGATGCCACCTGCTAACCAAGAGGCAGAAACAGGAGGCTTTTAGAATACTAGGGAATGTTTGGCACTGTATACTCAGAGTAAAGATGGTGTGTGTGCACACACGTGTGACTGCATGTGTAAAGTCAAAGAACGGCATGAAAGCCAGTCTGCTAGAAGGGGGTTTGCAGTAGATGCCATGACTAGAGTCTGCTTCACACTTCAGAGAAGTAAAAACAAATCTTTTCAGAAGGAATTCATTCCTACGCTCCTTCTTATCCACACCTCAACCCCCTGACCTAGAGAATAAATGTGTATACTTCAACAAATATTTATGTGATCAGACTAGAGCCACTGCCAGGAAGCACACCAACACGTTTGTGTGTGTACTTTCCTGGGCCAAGCTAATCCTTGCTTTTACGCCAGCTTGGATTCTCTGGGCATCGAGCAAAGGAGAACTGTGGACTTCTCTGCAATTACATACAAATTTCATAATGTATGTGTGTCTTAGAAGGAATGCACCTGTCTAATGGGCACAGCCTTACTTAAGCAACTCTGTCATGCACTTTAAGAATCAAGGTGTGCATATCTACATAATTAATAATATGCAAGTTATTCTTCTCCGGGGGCCAAGTGGTCTTTAACATACAGAGCCAGAACAAAAAGACATACCCTTTCTTACACACGCACACCTCCCCACTATAATTATAATCACCATGCTGGCTTCCAGATCAGGGTTTGGTAGCCTTGGCATAAAGATACCTGAAAGACACCCAAGGCAATTAGTGGTGTCCTTTCACCACCCCGTACATACTTTCCTGGCCTTTGCACTTGCTGTTCCCCCTCCTGGGATATGCATCCCCCAGGTTCTGTGTGGCTCAGTCCCTCACTGCATGTAGGTCTCGGGTTAAATGCCACCTCCTCAGAGAGGTCTGGCCTGGCTCTCTATCTGCTGACCAGCTTTATTTAGCTTTGCACAACTTTGCATCCCTGGGCATTATGCTCTGCATTTCTTTATCTGTCTGACATCTGTCTCCCTGCTGGCACAGACCGTGAGCTTCATGAGGCTCCATAACCACAACCACACTCTTGGAGCCTCGGGCAGAGCCTGGCACACAGCTGGCACTCTGTCAATACTAGTGGAACGATGAATGCTCATGCATCTTTTCCTCTCCAAGTCCACACTCTTTCCTCCGACTTCCTCTCCTGCCCCCACCCTTCCTGCCTCCACTTTAAGCCTCCTGGCAGGAAGATGAGTGTTGTGGTCTGGACTCTTCTCCTTCATCTCCCATTCCTGCTCTCCCTCATGGCTACTTATCTCCCACCTGCAGCTGCCCACTGCCAGCTCTGGCCCTCTTGGAGCGCAGGACCCAAGCTTAGGCACTCCAGATGATTGTAGGAAAATTGGGAATTTGGCAGGCGGGAGGTTGTAAGGAAGGCGAGGCTCAGTCTCCAAAGCAGCCCTGTCAGGCTCACGAAGAGCAGAATATCATTCGGGCCACCTTTCAGCACCCACAGCCCAGCTTCTTGTCTTTCCCGTGGGAGTCAATGCCACCATTCTGGGGGCTCAGCCCCTCCCTCCTTTCACTCTGTGCGTCCCCTCTCCTGCCCTGACTGACAGCATCCAACTCTACCCCCCACCCACCTCCTCTCCTTCCTGGCCCCTGCTGCTTCCTTGTGTAATAAACTTGGATAGCGAGCGCCAGCCACATGCCAGGTCCCATGCCAGCACCGCCCCACCCCTGCTCGGGCCCCCTTGCTGCTCTCCTTCCCCTGCCTCTTCGCTCTGCCCCTCCGCATCCTGGCAGCTCAGCAGGACCCCGCCCCTGCCTTGCTCCTCCGAAGCCCCCAGGCCTCTGACCTTCAACACCCCAGGGGGAAATGATCACAGACTCCACAGCGCCACCTTGTGCCCTCATTTTCCACTTGACTCCCCAAGATTATAAGTTGCTTGAGGGCAGGAGCTGCATCTTATCCTCCGAGACCCAGTAGAAGCTGATCCAGGCAAACAGCCTCTTTTCACAGACATCCGATCTTCCCTTCCCTCCTCCCACCACCACCCATACATCCTGGTCCATTCCATCCACTTAATCTCCCGAGAGAAGAGATCCTGAATGGATGGAACAACTGCAACCACAATGCCTGTGAGGTGCCCCCTGTACGCTGGGTACTGGGGCTACCCTGGTGGGCAGCGGCAGGCCAGAGTCCCTGCTTTCCAGAACGTGTGCTCCCAGCAGCAGCGCCCCGCCCCTCCCAGCTGAGCCTGTTGTCTGTTCCGTTTCTGATCGGCGCCAGGCTCATAGACCCCATGTAGGTAGAATATAACTTTCCATAAATAACCCCTAGCCCGACCTACAATTTAGCCTTTGAGTTTTTTTCCCTTCGTGGTGAGGGGATTGTAGCCTGGGCTGATCCCTCCTGGATCTCCGGGTCCCAGAAAGCAGCCTCTAGGTATATCTGGTGTGAGACATTGCTTGGAATTCCTGGTCCCCCAAGCTGCCTGTTGCACAGTGAGGACTCAGTACATGTGGAGGAATGGTGGACTGAGTCTTGTCCACCATGACAGCCACACATCTGTAGCCCCAGGGCCTTTGCTTGGGCTGCACCTTCCACCTAGAATGTCTGTGCTCCCTTCACCTGGTGAACCTCTAAGTGGCACCCACCTCTGTGACACTTTCCTTAACCTTTATCCTTTGTCCCCACCACAGAGCCAATTACTCCTGTCTTTGGTCCCATAACACTTTGTACAGAACAGTGTGACCTGATCATTTGCCCACATGCCCATCAGGCTCTGAGCAGCTTCAGTGAGTGTCAGGGCAGGGAAGTGAGCTCATGTCCAGCTGTGGGGAAAACATTTGACCACTTGGTGCTCAGTTTCCTCAGATTCAAACACAAACATGGCTCCAGAGCCCGTGTTTCACCCACTGGACCACACTGCCTCCGGGAGCTGGATAATGTATCCATTTCCTGCCCGCTCTTGTGTTCTGGGCTCTGGGGCACTTCTCACAATGCATAGATTCCCTGCAGGGCCCCACCTAGGCCTCCTTGGGCCTGGAGGCATCAACACACACTGACACCTAGCACAGACTTGTTGATGGTGATATGGATTTGAGAGGGTTCATTGGGAGTTAAAGTGAAAAGTCACCAGGGGGGACCCCAGCTCACTTTGTGGGATAAGGAGGGGTCTCAGGGTGGGGTTACCCCAAGATGAGCTAGACTTGATTTAAAGCTTTGCATTTGATTGTCCCTCCTTATGGCAACTGAAGAGTATTTCTTGAGTCTCAGGTAGCATCCGGCACTATGAGAGAAGTGCAAGACATTGTCCCTGCATACATCTTCACTAGAGAGGCATAAAATTCCTGTTTGGGAAACAGCTGGGCTGAGCTCCCTGTGAGCTGGTCCTGAATGATACGTGGCTTTGTGTCTATCCCGGTACTAAGCAGGGCGTGGCCAGATGAAACAAGTGGTCCACGAATGGATTCAAATGAAAGACATAGAATCAGGAACAAAAGTAGTGGCTTGGACAAAAGGGCCTGGACATCTGAGGAGAGAGAGATCAGTGGGGATTGGAACAGTGGGGATTGGAAGGTTCAGAGAAGAGATGACAAAGAACATGAACCCTAAAGAAAGAGCAGGAGTTGTTGGGGGGGGCAAACTAAGGAGGTGGGGATCGTCAGTACAGCGTGTGCCACTTGGAGTCATTAAGGAAGCTTAGTGAAGTGGGGGATGGGAGTCAAGCCGGTGAAAGCCTTTTATGTCAGACTGAGAAGCCTGAACTTGATCCTTGGGCAAGGAGGAGCTGTTAAGGAATTTTGAGCAAAGCTGTGATGCCAGGAGAACAGTGTTTTTGGATCAGTATGAAGGTCTCCCTGCTCCAGGGAGACCAGGCTGAGGTTATGACAACGGGCGGAGTGAAAGGAGGAGGTCCAGGTTTGGAAAGGAAGGGATGAACATGACTTTTCAAAGGAAGGACATAATTGCCACAAGGGCCACCATAGTGCAGTCAAAGGTGTCACAGTGACCAAGAGAAGGATGTTAACTTTGACAGAAATGACTGTGTGTGGCTGACAAATTGAGACCACATCCTCTCGGTAACGACTCATTGTCTTTATTAACAATGCCTCTGGATTCGGAAAGAACAGACTGTATTTCATAAAAGCAATATTAACGTTGTCATTCTCTACAAGAAAAACTTCTGCATAAATAACTTAAGTGAGAAAATAAATATGTAACTTAACTCTTTTTAAAAACCATAACTTTCATTCTTGTGGACAAATCTCACATGAAAGATTGCAAAAAATGACCAGCCCAGCAGGCTTTCACATGGCATGTGCTTCTGATGAAAAACAAAAATTAACAATTATAAACTACACAGAAAGTAAGAGGTGTCTGAAAATGATTTTCAAAAAGTTTTTTGGATGGCAGCTATTAGGCTTTGCAATTTCTCAGCATATGTACAGCACTTGTAATTTCCCCCCAATATTATTTTAATGTAAGATATGCCATCACAGGAAATAGTAAAGAGCCATTTTCTAGACAGAAATGTGTCTGTGAGTGGTAGGCAGGAGGAGGTGACCAGGAATGGTGGCTGCTCCCTTAGGCCTGCAGGCTGTGTCCTGGGACCTTGAGCTTCTCTGTAGATGGTGACTTTAAAGTACGGCCATGGGGGGGGG